GAACTTTACTCAAATTATCACAATACTATATATTTAATATGATGTAGCACAAAATTACACAAAATTACAGATTTGAGGTGGAATATCACAGAACTGCATATTTAACAACAAAGTTATCACAAAACTATATTCCCTCCGTCCCTAAGTACAAGGGATTTTGGTTGGATGTGATGGAGGGAGTAGATTTTATATCAATTTAATCACAAAATTTAAACACTTATATTTCAAACATAACACTAGAGCTAAGGATTTAAACCCCAAAATATATGGTTTTGTGATAATTTTCATTATTAGATTTTGTAGTTTTGTTATACTTGATCTGATAAATTTATTATTAAATCTATAATTTTATGGTAAATCATTTTAAAGTTGTAGTTTATGATAGTTTGATTAGTTACGTGAAATTTACTCATCTAGATAGCTCTCTTTCCGCCGCATGGTGTGTAGTGTATTTTTCCAACTGTTTGCCGCGATGAATCAGTGCGTTTTTCGTGGTTGGTCGCAGTCTACCGGCTCACTCTCTGACTGGCCGGTCCACGGTCAACACTCAACAGTACTAGTACATCTAGAAGAGATAATCAGCACTCATGTTTCTAATGTTCTTAGCCAGGAATCTTCTACAGAGAACTACCTGCATATGTGAATGCATAAATGTGTGTACATGTCGGCATTGTGCCGAAGTAATTCAACATTGAAATGGTCCGGGCGATAACTTTTAATTTGTCCAAATATCTTATTACTCGATCCTGTCATGTACTAGCATTTGCATTTATCATGGCGAAACAAGGATGATCTATTGATCTGTATCCCGGTCAGGGAACTGTATACAACAGTTCACCAGGGACTCAGGGAATACTGCAGTAGTGCTTAATCACCAGTTCATCACTGTTTAGTGACAAATTCTTGTTTATTCTTCAGTAAATGTCTCTTAACGTGATAATTTTGCTGTATACACTATGCTCATATGGAGTACTAATAATCATGTTGTAGCGAGGATGTTTCTTCTTAAGTATATCTACTTTATCATCGATATCAATATATAATTGCTTTTCACAATCGGGCATTTTCAATTTTTGCTGGCAGGTGCTCCTTAGAAATGAAGATTTCCGAGCGCGAGCATCGCAACTGCTTTTTGTAGACAGGCAAGTTAAGCCGCATGCCTACACTAGAATTTTAGCAAAAAAAAAAATCCCACAGATCTGTGAAACACTAGCGCCAACCGCCGCCACCACCCGGAGCCCGTCACAGTCGATGTCGTCGTTGAGGTCGAGGAGTTGAGAGGAGCAGCCGATGCGCGCTGTGAAGGAGGAGCCAGGTGCCTGTCTGTCGCCGCCGGCTGATCCCGCCCGTCACGGGGCCGCCATCGCCGGATCTGGCCGTCACGGTGCCACTGCCGTCGGATCCCGCCATTGCAAGGCTACCTACTATGAAAGAGGAATCGAGGCGCGTGCGGTGGTGGAGGAGGAAGAGCGATATGCAAACCTTCTTTTACTCTGTTTATAACAATAAAAGGGAGTGTATGTAAAGTCTAATTTTGTAGTAGTGTACTAATTTGTTAGAAGATCTTATCGTAAATGAGGCTAACAGCTGTTAAAAATCAAACTTATTAAATGTTAAGACGTGATAAACCAACGAAATGTGACCGGTCTTCAAACCAAACACCCTCTGAATCTTGCTTCCGGTCAATTAGCACGCTAGCTCCCGGATGGGTCAGACAAGTGCCCAGTGACAAAACTACGATCGATGTACTACTGTGGTTTATGGCTATTACTCCATCCGTTTTATAAAAAATTAATCTAGTACGAGATCTAGTACGAAATGTAACATATTCTAGTACTATGAATCTGGACATATATCTATCCAAATTCGTAATACTAGAATATGCTACATCCTGATTCGTTTTTTATGGAACGGAGTAAGTAGCCAATAAGAGCACACACTTCGTGGTCTAGGATTGATAACGTTGCTAGCTCAGCCACTGCTGTCAATCTCTTTGGTGATAACGTATTGCTGTGAGTTTGGACCGGTAGAGATCTTCTAGGCTTCAGTCCAATAGTCTCAAATCCTTATCTTGGTCTATAATATGGTATATTCATATATACTATGTATATACAACGAACTAAACAAGTACAAACTCCTCCATCGTTGTCACTGAAAACGAACTCTAAATTAATCAATTTGTCGAAGAGGACGGGATCAAACCGGAAATCGAATAACCAATTTTAAGCAGGCAGCTAAAAAAAAGAGAGCTGAGGCGACGTGCATAAGAGCACAAAACATGCCGTGAGCCCAGTGACGTCTTCATATCCAAGTAAATTCCCAGTGAAAACGATGGCAGTGGAGTGTACGTACGGTAGAGCTGCAACCAAAGGGCGAGACGTGGTAAAAGAGATCGAGATCTTCTGAGTGCTTGGAACATGTCAAAACTCAAAACTAGAGTGAAAAAGTTGAATGCCGTGTTAAACGTACTTTTCCTAGTATCTACTGGAACAGTACCCACCAATTATTAACAACATGCCAAGGATGATTATTATTCGATCCGCAAGTGCTTTTTCAACGACCTGGTTATACCGAACTAATGCATGCCTGTTAGTACACGGCCAACAACGCTCACGTTGCAATCGAGTGCTATAAACTAGGCTATATATGCACATAAATCGTTTTTTTATGGTAAATAACTAAAAAAATCATATTACATCCATGAAACTTTTATTTTTAAAATTCTTTATGAAATGTTTCCTGACTTCAAAACTAGACACCATTCATCACTGAACTTCCTACAATGTTTACTTCTCATCATTTGACTAGATTCAAAGTGGTTTGGTTGACAAGTGGTGTTAATGTGGCAGTTGGATTTATCTTGAAAATGTATAATGTTTTTATACTTTAATTTTAAACATTGGTTAGTCTAAATTTAAACTAATCAACGTCATACTTAAAAAAAAGAAAGAAAGAAGGGGTATTAATTATGAAAATAGTAAATAACCTAGAAAAAATTCTAAAGATGGAGGATTTCAAACCGAATTAAATATTGTTTTCTACCAACAATATAATAAGATAGGTTCAACATGGAAACCACATTGCTCCCCATAATTATGATTTGGGACATATGAATGATCCCACTCCAACTAGTAGTAGTAATAAAAGGAAACGGAAGGACACAAATTTTGTCTCGTCCACATTATCAGTCCATGTCAATCGCAGATGAATCATCTCAATGCAGGCCACTTCACGAATGGTTTTGAGAGGCCACTGGCAAAGGCCGAGTTTAGTTCCAAAATTTTTCTTCAAATTTTCAACTTTTTCATCACATCAAAACTTTTTTACACATACAAACTTTTAATTTTTCCGTCACATCGTTTCAATTTTAACCAAACTTTCAATTTTGACGTGAACTAAACACACCCAAAGCAAGAAGTTTCGTTTTCTGAAATGAACCATACCAAATTGATGCGAGGTTTCGTATTGATACAATAAAAAAAAGATTACAACCTGAGAAGTTGCAATTAGAAAAAGAACACATTACCACGCAACACTCCCCAATCATCCCCAATCATCCACCGGCTTAAGAAAAGAATTGATGTCGAGTCAACCGCCGCTGGAAGCAAGAAATTCCGTTGAGACGGAAATTAAAGCAAACCATTGGCGAAGTACATACTCCTGGATCAAGCACACTTGGGGTTTGACTCTCCCGAACTCAATGGCATTGACAGATTAAGTGGGTGTTTAACAACAACAAAGGTGTGGCATCAGGTGGTGCGTGGGCGTGCCGCGCGCGCGCGGTGGTGGATTCCGTTCCTCTTCCCTCCCCACTGCAAAATCCGCTACTTTCTGTACGCGTCATCTTTCTCTTGCGTTGGACGCGTACGTGCCGGGTTATCCACTCCGAATTCCGAACTTCCGATGCCTCTCCGCAAAGCGTGAGATGCTCTAACGCCACCGACAGGTGGGCCAGGGGAGGATTTCCGGGTCCACTGTCAGTGGAAGCAGCGGAAACTTCAGGAAGTAGTCCCCACCTTGGCGAATAGCCTTTCCGGTGTGACCACCCGCGCGGGCTCGGACACAAACGTGCGCCACGAGAGATGCGCACTACGCGAAGATGTCACCACCCCGGCCGTGTGCCCGTGTGGCTGACCAGCGGGCCACCGTATCCGCGGAGCCCACCTGTTGGTGAGCGAGCCGAGTGCGCGTAGCTTTGCAATCTGGCCGGGCGGGCTGCTTGTGAAGAACGTGCTCTTGCAACGGCATGAGTGCACGACCCGTTCCTTCCATGCACCTTTATTCTTGTACTACGTGGTGGTGAGCCCGCGCTAATTAGCCTGACCGCTGAGTCGCTGACATGGTGTCCCAGCGCGCGACGCCACGGCCACCCACCGATAGCCCCACTAGTTTAGCCAGCCCGACCCTTCGCCCTGGTTAAGGTTGGATCCGCTGTTGTCAGGTCAGGTCAGGTCTAAAGCCAAGGTATGGACCCCAGGCTATTTATGATCTGTCCTGACAAACTGGAGATGGAAATAGCCAATCACAGGAGAGTGAAGGACTAGTACCCCCTCAACCCCAGCTCATTCAGATATCTCAATCATCATAAAATCGTGGTCATCTCCCTAAACACAAGTTACCACGTACGGCAGCAGCAGCTTCAGAAGCACGAGTTCTGGGAACCAACAATTTCGTTCAGAAGGTTCCATCTTCTAGTTAACCAGGATTTTCCTCATAAATCCGCTCGTAATAACTTCAGTACAAGTATAACCCAGCAATAATAACACCAAAACAACGATCTCCAGCTGATGGATGGGCCGATGATCCGGTCAAAGGATGCGCGAGGCCGAGACCAAGGCCGCTCTCCACGTCGATTCTCCAGTGTGTCTAGGACTACTAGCTTAGTTCCACGACCAAAGACCGGTCCAACCCTTTGAACATTAGACGCACCACGTCCCTTTAAACACCCTGGAAAAATCCCCTTTTCCGTCCGTCCTAGTCCAGTCAAACTTCTTACTCTTCCAAGTGAGGAGCTTAAGCTGAGCTAACTGGTGCCCCAGCTCCGTGCACGCCGGCTATAAGAGGCCGCCCTCCCGTTCTCCCCACGCTGCCACGCACACACACATCGTCTCGGCGACACACGCGACCGGCTGGCTTAGCTAGCGAGCGAGTGGCATGAGCAGCGGCGCAGCTGGCTGGTGAGAGTGAGTGAGTGACCGATCGATCGAGCTTGCTGTGTGTGACGGATGGAGGGCTCGTCGTCGGACGGCAGCAGGTACGGCGGCTCCGGGAGGTGCGCGCTGGTGGCGGAGCTGGTGCAGATGCAAGGCATGGTGAGGCAACTGGAGGCGGAGATGGGCACGCATGGAGGCGGCGGCGGTGGGGGTGGTGGGGCGGCGCCGATGGCCGCCGGAGCGGACGAGCGGTGCCGCGCGCTGGTGTCCGGCCTGCTGTCGTCGATCGACCGGTCTATAAGCATCGCGAGGTCGTGCTGCACGGAGGCCGCCGCCGCCGGGCGCCTGACCCAGCAGGCCGGCGCCGCGCCTGAGTCGCCGCCGTCCGCCGACGGTAGCGCCGGCTCGGACCTCGGCGCCGACTCCCGGTGCCGCGCCAATGCGGCGGGGCCGTGCAAGAAGAGGTAATGATTAAGACCGCGATGCCTAGCTAGTTGATGCGATGTTGTTGGCGTGTTTTGATTAGTTTACTAATCGTCGTTGGTTCGCGATCGCGATGATTAATATATGCAGGAAGACGCTGCCCAAGTGGAGCAAGCAGGTGAAGGTGAGGTCCGTGCAGGACGTCGGCCCCCTCGACGACGGGTTCAGCTGGAGGAAGTACGGGCAGAAGGACATCCTCGGCGCCAAGTACCCAAGGTCAGCGCCGCTCCTACCAAACACCATTCCTTTCTCTACACCGCGCGCTCGATCGCGGGCACGTTGACCGGTTTCTAAACCAACGAACTCTCTCGCTCGCTTGCAGAGCCTACTTCCGGTGCACGCACCGGCACACGCAGGGCTGCCACGCCAGCAAGCAGGTGCAGCGCGCGGACGGCGACCCGCTGCTCTTCGACGTCGTGTACCACGGCGACCACACCTGCGCGCATGGCGTGCGCTCCGCCGCCGCCGCCATCGACGGCCAGGCCGCGGCGAGCGCGGAGCAAAAGCATCAGCCGACGCCGCCGCAGGAGCAGAACGCCGTCTCGGTCGCGTTCACCTCCATGGCCGTCGTCAACGCATCGACGTCGTCGCCCTTCGTGTCCCCGGCGATGTCGGACTGCCAGATTAGCTACGAGCTGGGCGGTGGCAGCATGGCCGGAGTCCGCAACGTGCCCGACGTGGAGCTTGCCTCCAAGACGAACTCCTCCATGGGAGACGACATGGAGTTCATGTTCTCGCTGGACTCCGATTTCTTGGACACCTACAAGTACTCCAGCTATTTCTAAGCGAACCCCGTAGTAGCGCCGCCGCCGCCGCATGACACGTAGGCACGTAGCTTCGAGCCTTGTACAATTTTCCTACACGTTGCCAGCCAGCTTGCCACATTAGCTAGGGCAAGCACCACGTACTAGTTAGTATACTACGTCACATCTTAAACCTTCGCCGTTTTTGTCTCAGCTTCTTCTTGCAGACTGATGCAGATGCAGCTTGTTTATCCTCTTTGATCCGAACGTCCTACCAAATCATGTATTTTTTTTCGACGGTCTAAGGCAAGTTTAATTTACAACACAAATTTGTCTTGTTTCTAGTAGGTATTGATTACGGTGCAAATTCTCCGTGCATTAACCCCGGACAGCGTCATGTTAGTTCGTCGGAGGTCCAAAGTCAGTGCCGGCTGGAATACAGCACGTACGATATGTGGATGTGATCTTCATTAAAGTGCACCGTGAGAGGTCAGAGGGCACGAATTAATTGATCAGCGAGCAGGTAGATTCTGATGGATTATTGGTGGATTGAGTTTGTACAAGCTTACAGATGCTGCTCCTTTAACTCTACCAATAGAAACCAAAAACACTTGCCGTCACCTGCAGGTTACTGACTAGTGACGACAACAATGAAATGACAGCTGGATGCTGACGTAGTGAACTGGGACGCTGACGGCTCGTATATATTTAGCAGTTACCACTAGCATATCCTAGTATATATACTGCTGGACTATATATGTTAATGTTAGTGTATTCCAGGCTTTTTCCTGTAAGCTGGTACACAACTGTAGATATAATTGAGCATGTCTATTCCACTGGTCTATTGTTCAAACATTCCACGGTTGTATCCGGTACTAGTGGCCAGGTTTCCCTTACCGCCGGTAACCGCGCGGTTACCGTGGTTACCGGGCTTATCGCGGGGGTACGGTAATATAAATACCACGGTAATTTCCTTAAATTTAAATAAATTTAAAAAATAATTTGAATTTTTAATAAATTTTGCACGGTTTTTCACGGTTACCGCGCGGTAACCGTGCTTACCGCCGGGGCGCAGTAACCCCGGTCCCGACGGTTTGGGAAACCCTGCTAGTGGCACTACTCTCTATCCATTTCTTATTAACCCCCAGTCCATCATTCAATTTTCAAGTGAATTTTTTGCTAGCTCTTTTGAATTGAATTTAGGAACCTAGAACTACAATGTGGGAGAAAGACGTTTAGATTATATTGCAAAGGGGAAAGTTCGTGTACACCCTAAGCTATGCACGAAATTCCATCTAATACTATGATCTTTAGAATTAGATATCTAACCACCCCGGGCTTTCTTCGATCCCCCAAAATTTTCTGCTATTTATACAACCCCTACCCTAGTCTTATCTTGCTTATATGTTATAAGCGATTTTGGCTACGTGGTATACACATTGGATGTGTATGTCTAAATCGTGATGGACTTCATATCACAAACAATAGCTACCCTTAATAGTGATTTAATTAGTCACATCAGGTAAACTATAACGTATTTCCTAGGTCATCTCGAAGATTGATAAAGCAAACACATAATGGTACGGTAAAATGGCTCGATCTGTTTTAATATCGACGGCGATACGTGATTTTGTGGTTATGGTTCGAGCCAATTAAGGTGACAGATCATAAGGTTAGTTAGCAGCCATGGATGAGCGCCTGTCCTATGCTCCTAGCTAGGGAACTCAGTAAAGGCTTGGTCATCGTGTAGGTGGAGCACGATGGACCAAAACTTCATCTCCGATTGGCCGACAGCACCATCCTTTCCAGGAGTCCTATACTATCATGGGGAGAGAGCTACGGAGACGATCGGGGCTGGGAAAATCGGACGCTGCTGACGTAAGCCCAATTTACGTGTAAAACTATTTTAAACTGGTTTTTCTCTTAAATTACTTATCCAAATCATAATCCGATTACACCATTAAATTCGTTGCAATTAAATCTTTAAAACAAGACCACACTTGGATATATTCCGATGAAAAAAATAGCTTATTATTAAATTATTTTTAAATATTACACGATGTTCCACTAGGTATATCGGAATTATTTCACTAAGTAGAGCGAAAATGTTTCACTCGTTTAAATCGGGTGTTGTTTCACCTTATATAAAAACAATGTTTCAGCAAATAGTGAAATAATGTTTCAGTTCAGAGCAACATTAGATCTATACATAGTGAAACATTGTAAGTACACTAGGTGAAACATTTTTCGGTGGAACAAAAAATAAACCAAATTTCCTTAATAGGGGGTTTCCAAAATACGTGGGTTTTTTTTTCCAATGGAATGTTTCGTTCACTGCAACATTAGATCTATACATAGTGAAACATTGTGAGTACACTAGGTGAAACATTTTGGTGGAACAAAAAATAAACCAAATTCTCTTAATAGAGAGTTTCCAAAATATGTGGGTTTTTTTTGTTGTAAAAGAGTATTTTAATGCACTGCAACATTGGATCTATATAAATAATGAAACATTGTAAGTAAACTAAGTGAAACATCTTTCGTGGAATAAATGGGAGAAAGAAGTGGGTGGGTCCAACAGTACGAGCGTGGGGAGGGACGCGCGGGGGGAGCGTCCGATCCGGCTCCCCCCGCGTCGGGCGCTCGGTACCAAGCATTCTCGCTATTATGGAGCTTTGGATATATATAGTTGGATTTGGATGGCAAGTTGGCGACGAGTGATCATGACTCATGAGCCATCTGCTTGATCTATATGTCTCTTACTTTCTTACTCATATATAGTCACTACAACAAAAATATTATATAAAGACACTTTCTTAGAGGTGTTTGTAAATTGCCTATAAAACCAGGGATTTTATAATGTAGAAACAGTGGCGGACACACCCATTGGGTAGGGTGGGTCGGCCGGCCCAGCTACGGTCCGTGTCACCCCACGCTCCCAAACCTCATTTTTAGTCGTGTTTCTAATACATTAGTCATCAGTCTACTATTGAATAATCAGATAAGTTAAGTATTTTAAGTAGGAACAAAAACATTTTATAAAAATTCATGTATAAGTAGTACCATTTTTTATCATTTCTGATTTTGGCCATACATACAATTCGGTTTTTTTATATTTCTTTAGTGCATAATACAGTCTACATTAAATAGCTAAATTGGTAAATATATAAAAAAATTATTTTACTCACTTGAACTACTTTGGCGAAGCACTTAAACCCCTAAATATTTTTTCATCTCGTTTTATACCCTCTAACTATTGAAAGTGGTCCCTGTCCCCTTACTGTCTAACAACATTTCTCATTTTTCTTTATCTCTCTACATATAAGTCATATACATTTGTTCAACCACCAATCTTCGTCGTTATCTTTCTCAATGTTCGTGTCATGTGATGTGCCCAAGCCGTGAACCAGCGGTTATGGTCTATGTGTGTTGTGCCATCACTTAATTAGGGCTAGCTCTGTCACCCCATCTGTATTGTAAATCTGCGTCTGCCACTGTTAGAGGTACTTTCTAGAGGCACTTAAATTGCATAGAAAATTTTTACTCTACTTTAGTGATATTATCAGTACATTTTGTCAAACTTTATCTTGTGGAGGTAATCTTTCGATATTTTAAAATATGCCTGATATGTAAATGCATTTTCTTGAGATATTTTAAACTCTTTTAGGAACGGCTCAAACATACAAGTAATGATATAAGGTTGAGTCTGTTAGTGCACTAAAGGTAAAAATGATTTGGCCAAGAGATCTTGAGTTCAAGGATTGGTAATATTAAGGAAAACTATTTTATTATCTTTTTTATATTTGTTTGATATGGTTGTGATACAGTTTAATGCATTTACCCTCTTATAGATATTTTATAAACGTCTCTTTGTTTGTAGAGACAATTCACCATAAGACACTTACTATATTTTTTTAATATGCCTCTACTGTAATGTAAATACGTTTGAAAATTAAAGTGTCCCTATAATATTAAAAAAAATATCTATATGAAGCATTTTTTATAGTGCAGATGCCTGACGCTATATTTGTGTCATCGTGTAGTGGGTACTCCTCTACAACTTTTATCCTATGAAAATAGAAGGTCATAGATTACGTGCAAACAAACCTCAAAATATTAATTGAATCATTGATAGATAAAAAAACATTCGGATTTATATTGTGAAAAACTCTTTCGCACAATTATAATTTTTCATAACCAGGTACTCCCTCCGTACTCATAAAGGAAGTCGTTTAGGACAATGTTTAAGTCAAACATTAGGAATATAAAACATGAATAACTCTTAAGTTGTTGAGTTTGAAAATATAAAAATTATATAAATAGATTTGTCTTGAAAAATACTTTCATAAAAGTATACATATATCACTTTTTCAATAAATATTTTTATAGAAACAAGAAGTTAAAATTGTGTTTTGGAGACCGTGTCGCTGTCCTAAACGACTTTCTTTACGAGTACGGAGGGAGTATGTAGTAATCACTAAGGGCCTGTTAAGTTCGTGAAAAGAAAATTTTTGGATGTCACATCGGACGTTTGACCAGATGTCGAAAGGGGTTTTCGGATACAAATGAAAAAACTAATTTCATAACTCGCCTGGAAACCGCGAGATGAATAATTTGAGCCTAATTAATCCGTCATTAGTACATGTGACGCAAAACTAATTAATAGACGTCTAACTTAATAAATACTCTCTCAGTTTCTAAATATTTGACGCTGTTGACCTTTTTAAACATGTTTGATCATTCGTCTTATTAAAAAAATTAGGTAATTATTAATTCATTTCCTATCATTTGATTCATTGTTAAATATACTTTCATGTATATATATAGTTTTACATATTTCACAAATTTTTTTAATAAGACGAACAATTAAACATGTGCTAAAAAGTTAACGGTATTAGAAACGGAGTTAGTATCCTTTTAACATGCAACAAAAGTGTGACAATTAATTCAGGATACAGGAATACATCATGTTAGTTGTTAGCAACATTGGGTTATATGATCCGGCTGGGGGAGGCCGGAGAGCGGAGATTTACTCATCATGCACCCACCGGATGATCCGTACGTAACCATCTTTCGATTATCTCGAAAATGAAAAGTTGTTAGAGGACATACACAGGAATCACACCATGCATAGCCAACACTTCTACAAGGTGGATGTACTGTTCGACCAACACATGCAGATGTAGTCGGCAACTACTCCATGAAAGCAATGGCTCCTCCTCAAGTGGTACACTATATTTATCTTCCACAAGACCACAACCTACAATGTCAAGATCAGCTAGCTTTTACTCTTCCTCTCTCTCACATATGCAGTCTTTTCAGCTTTAAGGGATGACAA